AACTCGTCATTGAAGCTGTATGTTTACACTGATTTAAATATTCAAAGCAAGGATTCAGTGATTTATGCTGCATCATTCCATTGAATAGAAATATTCTGGTTGTCTTTTTCCAGAAGTTCAGCCTGACATATTTGGTATGTTTTGAAACTTTGGGGTCTCCACTAGAATTAAAAATAATCTGAATAATGTTACACTTTAAACCCTGCCTCTAGCTAAATTATCCTCACTTATGTATGGTGAAACATTAAGAAATCTGTTGCAGAGCAGCCGTCCTTAAAAAACAGGTTTTTGGGAAGTAAATAAGATGATATTAATCAGTAAGAGAGCCATGGTTTGAATTCAGATAATGAAAAAGCTTAAATGTCTTCCTGGCATTCAGCTGAGGGGATGAAAAAAGATATCGTAAGACAGCAACAACAGAGAAATTTACAGGCCAGCTGATTAGAAAGGGAAGGAGAAGGAGAGAAATGTAGAAAGTGATGGATGAGAGAAAGATGGAGGGAGCGAACAGATGAAAGAATAAAACGAGTGATTCATTGGTAAGGACCACGCCTTTTGGCCGAACTACAGGAATACACACAGATATACACACTTCAGTCAGGGTGGTGTAGTGGGCGTATACAGAGCGTCTAAGAGTTTATTACCAAACAAGAACCACAAGGGAGATGAAGGTCAGTCCTTCGTTCATATATCTTCATCTGCATGTTTACAACCTACATATTCATCAAGCGACCAAGACATCTTACCTGCTGTTTTTAAGTAAATCTTTCTCTGTAGATTGTAACCTATTTAGATTATGCTAAATTTGACAAATTTAGGTATAAAAAAAACTACATAAATGAAAATTAAAGTGGCTCTTCATTAGAATAACATACCTGGATAATATAAGATTCAAGTAGGAAGATTAACAGTTAACTAAATAAATAAAATGTGAATTTACGTTGTTTTGAATGGTGACAGGTCAAAACGTAGTTACTTTGAGGAAATTTGGGCACATGACTGCAGTATTTTGCGGCCTTGGTAACAAAGACAAGAATTCTCACTGGCTTCCCACCTACGACCCCTCTGGAGCTACCGCTGCCAGTTACTGACATCCAGGTTTCTGCAGTGGTTGGTGCCAAGTTTGATTTGCATACAATCTTTATAACCTCTTATGGAAAATTAAATTTCAAAAGGTAAAACAATGAAAGATTACACATACTGACATACTGCATTAAGCTAATTGACAAATGAGAAAATAGCTACATAAAGGTGTGCTTATAGTAGTAAGTCCTAAACGTGATATAGATGAGCTTACATGTCTGCATCCACTGATGAAGACTAGTTAATGCAGTTGAAAGCTGTGGAAAAAAACTAGTAAGTGGACCTAGTTGAGTTGGTTTCAAAACACTGAATGTTGTTGAACTGACCTTCCAGAACATCATCCAGAAACTTTCGTTCTCCTATGAAATAAAGGGAAATTAAACAATTTTAAAGTTATGGAGATAAGAAAAAAACATTTCTCACAGGCATGAGTATGGGTATTTGGGTATATTTGGGTATTTGGGACGCATGTCACAGCAGTAAAAGTATATTGTGACATGTAGTGTTTAGGTTGGACCCAGGAGCAGACACACAGACAAGATGGACGGTTTAGATGGGGCTTTATTTCACACATGCACTGGGGGAGATGAGGGGCGTCCTCAGCAGGAGCGGGCCGGAGAATCAGCAGGCAGACCAGAGACACGGAAACACAGGAGAGCTGACTCTGGGACCCGAACTGCACGGGTGGACTGGAGAACTGGCGGAGGGTACGAAGATCCGGAGGCACTCGAGAGCTGACCCTGGAACCTGGTCTACACGGGAACGATCCCTGGAACTCTGAAGAGGTCGGATTCCGGAAACTCTGGAGATATGGGGATCAGACAGGGGGGCAGGAACAGGGAAAAACACTAAGGAGCCAGCTACTCACTGAGCGGAGCCAAGCGTGTACCACCAAGTCTGCTGAACAAACAATCTGGCACCAAGCAAAGGGACACCGGGGTACTTGAGGGCTGAGACTAACGAGGTGATAGAGAGCAGGTGAGGCAAAGCACAGGTGAGGTGATTGGAGACCGCACCCTCAGACAGGGAAGGAGGAGGAGCAAAGGGAGCAGGAGAGGAGCAGGGCCATGACATATATGGCCAATCCACAATCCTGTGTTAAAGGTCACAAACATACATACAGGCTGTTGGTCAATTATGTGCCATTTATTTCTGACAACAAGCTGGTCAAGAGGTCAAGCTGAAAGGAAGACATACCAAAACACAACCTTTGTTCTTCAATACAGACAACACACACAGAGATCAGAGAGCATCTCCTCTACAGATGCAACTACGAATAATGACTGCATAATTCACTCTGATGCAGAGTGGCCTGACACACAAATACATACATACACAAACACACACGCACACACTCTAACCCCACACCACCCCATAACTCAGCCCTGCTTCATTTGGCTAATATGACAGGCACAGTGTGTAAATTACATGACCTCTGTTCACTCATTCATACTTTCAGTGTGTGTGTGTGTGTGTGTGTGTGTGTGTGTGTGTGTGTGTGTGTGTGTGTGTGTGAGACAGAGATTACCATTAGCACGTTAGCTTGTGTGATGTTATACCGCAGCCCATACTCACCCGCCTGTGCTGTGAAGATGGTCCATGTGAAATATTCAAACCTCCCAGAGCCAATTAGTGTAATGGGGACGTATTTGCATATACAGAGGGTGTGAGGGGGTAAAAGATAAAGGGAGGAGGATGGATAGAGGGCTGGAGGGTTAGAGGATTGAGGAGAAGAGAAGATAAAACTGAATTATGAGAATACATGGGAGGGAAATGAACATAATTGAAATTGTCATTGAGTGTTTTTTGCAGGCTTCTGGCTCAAGTGTTACTTGACTGTTAATGATATAATATGTAACATTTCCGCATTCAAATGCCTATAAACACTGCACCTATTTTATATATTTTTTGAGTTGTGTACTGACATTATTCCAAATGTTTCACAATGTTCAAACCCAGAGAAAAAACTGTGTCATATCCCCTTTGCTCATGTGTGAGCATTGTTGTCTTATATCTAGTTTTAAGCCACATTTTTACTAACAAGAGGTTGTTTCCATCTCTCTCTCTCTCTCTGTATACATACACACACGGATGTGGGATTGTAAGTTATCACATAAACAAGCTCAGCTAACATTAGCAGCAGCTCCGGGACGTCCTTTAACGGAAAAACACTGATTTGTAATGTTTTTTTTATTTTTAATGAACAATTGTCACTGAAGGAACCCTAACCAGCTGACTGCAATGACAACAATGGTGGTAAAAACAACAACTCCCATGATCTGACACTCCTTCGTGGCATCGTCAAACCCAGTCTTTTGTTATTGTTATCCTAGCAGAAGAAATGGCATATTGTACATTTAAAACCAACCAATATACCAGTGAAGGTATATACATCATATCATGTCCATCATCTGAGGGGATTTCTACAAGAGGTGAATGAGAATAACAAAAACAACAGGAAACCCAGTTGGTTACCATAGTTTACATGGCAACCAATTTCATTTTGCATATTGCATGCAGACTGGAAATTATTAACACTGTTTGAAAGCAGGCTGAAACGACCCATATCTAGTTCATTAGTTACTGTGTCTTCTCTTTCACACTTACATCAGTGGTTTTCTGTTTGAACTGGTTACGTCACAGCTTCACAAGTAAGAGACTAAGCTAAGCAAGATTCATTTCAACCACCTCCTCATTAGCAAGAGCACGTGCACATGTCACTGTGCTGAAAGTGCTCCCAACAAAAACAGATAAAATAGTGAAACCAGAGGGAAAAAAATGAGACACAATACATAAAAAATAAAACCTTAAGACTAGCTCTAGCCTACAAAGATTGTTTATACCGACTTGTTCACATCTTTTAGAATTTGACAGGAAGGAGCATAAATCTAACAAAGCTCTTTCTCCTGCAGGGAAATTATCTCCACTCCATTTTCGTTGAACATGTCTCTATTGACAGCGAGCACTAATATGAAGCTAAACCTGCACACACACACACACACACACACACACAGTTGTTTTCAATTACCCAACCTAATTAGACCTCCAGTCAGGTGGAAGATGGGTGGAGCTATTTTGGATATAACATGATGTCACCTAATATATAATAATAAATAATAATAATAATATATAAAGGCCTACCGCTGTCCCACCCTCACAGGTGCCACAGAGGTCACAGGAGATGTCAATCAAGCGCAGTCTGTACACGCCCACACAGTCCTGACAAGAGCTGTAATCAGGCAGCTGTGTGGGTGGACGTAAAGGTGCCTTTCAATGTCTGGTCCTAGAGAAACTCAGTTTTAAGGAAATCAGCTCAGTTGATTCAAGACGAGGCTAAATCTAGAGCTCCCCTCGGCTTTACAAAAGCTACATAGTCAGTTTCAGCCTATTGTGTAGCTGCCAGCCCACAACTTTACTGTTTCTGGTTCACTCTCACCGTTCTCATAGTGCCTGAACATAGTGGAGCATTTAGCAGCTAAAGAACCACATATTCCCCTCAGGAGTTGGAAGAGACCAAGTATATGGTATAAATTAATACCAACTTATACCATACTTCACCATATTACCTTAAAGACTGACGATAAATCTGTGCTGATGAGGTTTATACACAATCTCACCTTGATAGATCATCACTGCCAGCGATACAATACCAGTCCAAGTGTTGGACAGTTTCCTGTAAATGGTCGTTCTATGGAGAAACAATGAGGACGGTCGTAAGTCAATGGCAAGACCTGTTGAAGGCAACAGGTTGGGTGGGCAGCAGGCCACCTTATAACATACAACTTATTGAAGTTGAGGAACAACAGCACCAAAAAAACAGACACCAGGAAGATGAGAGAAAAACAAAAAGAGAAATGCGACACAGACTCATATCAGTCAAATACAAATGTGTAAATATAAGTAAGCAGCCACAGTCCTTTTTCCTTATTAAAGATACTTGGTGTTTTTTTATTTACATCATATAAGACAGAAAATGTGCCCTTAATGTCAGTCAGAAACCAACAGCTGTCATCAAGCCTCGTCCACATACACACCTGATTCCAACCACAGGGTCAAACAGGGTTCATGTCCAGGGTCAGCTCTTTATGTTTACGACATGACATCAAAGTACAAAACACTGACCAGATTTCTGACACGTGACATCGACTAGTGGCTCCCAGAGAGAGAGAGAGAGAGAGAGAGAGAGAGAGAGAGAGATCCCAGTGAAATGATGAGTTGTTAAATGTCACAAATATTTTATTAGTTTTAATCAAAGCTGGTGAATAAAATGTTATGGAAGCTACTATTCTCATGTGAGTGACGCTTTATAGATGGAGATCGGTGGAGTAATGTGCATCCATCAGGAGGACCCTGGACATGGATGACAACCATGTTTGTTTCTGCTGTTAAAACCAGGCTAATGTTAAACAAACAGGGACCAGTTTCCCATCAGCTTAGACCCGTTGTACTGTAAGTCAGTGGGGGTGAAGTTGATCTTGGCAACAAGACAGTTTACAACAATGTCCTGCAGAAAACATATATTAAGCAACTTTATTTTTCAATAAAAAATGACAGTGTCATGCTCATTCAGCTGAAGAAAATGTTTCATAAATCCACCATTTTAGGAAAAATCATTAAAAATTTTATGTGGAATGAAAAATTTAAATAATAGTAGTTTTTTTTTTTCCTTAATTCATGAAATAAAAAAGACATTACTTGAGGGTGGGGACTCTGGTATGTAGGGAAAACGAGCCTGGCTTTAGATGGCACACACACTGACATAATGTTTCTGGCTGAAATAGAAAACGGACAACAAAGCAGTGGAAAATGTGATAACGTCAAATCATTTTGTGAATTATACCAAAAAAATCTGCAATAACATTTTATTACAATTTCCATTTTTCAGTTTGAATATCTTAAATAGATCTTAATTGTACATATTTGTTACAGGTACAACAGACCTTTATTAACAAACTAGTATGTTTGTACATTGGCAAAATCAGTATGTTCTCATATTGTTTCACACACTCACGCAGGCAAGCACACAGACGACAGTTGCTGGAGTTACGGATGTATTTGGCTTTGTCTCACTGGACACTGGACCCTTTCACACTTACCTCAGGCCCATGACAACATTTGTTCATGTTCATTGTTTGACACGGCTTATACAGTACAGCTCAGTTGTATTGCCACTGTAACTGCGATGTACACCTGTGTAGGAGTGAGTGACCTACAGCATACACTATGGTGTAATGGTCCACGACTGACAACAAAACTGTAGAGAACCGGTAACTGCAACACCTCTGCATCATAACAGCAAGACTTGTAAGATCTGACCAAACATTTCATATTGTGCCAAGAATTTACAGACTTGGAGACATGAGCGTTGGACACAAGTTGCGTGGGTGTAATGCTGATGTAATGTCCTTCATTTAACCTAGATGGAGAATTCAGACACTGCTGAAGTTGAGTGTAAATGACACCTGCACTACATTTATGCTACAATAGATTTTGTACATATTAATACATGTATGCATTATAGAATATTGCCAGGATGGCAGCCAGGGAGCACTTGTGCATCTCTATAAGTGAAAGCTCTGCCTTGGAAAAACCTTACCCCAGGCTCAATAACACAACTGTCGGATACACTTAAGAGTAGTTCACCTACTGTACCTTATGGGGGACCCTAAGGAAATTCAGTCTCTTTTACTGCTGGATACAACAATGCAACAATAGTAGTGTCCATGCACAGATTTTTTCATAGTGAATTTAAAATAGTTTGCACAGTGTAATTCTGTTGGATTGTGGGTTGGTCATCATCTCCTTGTAGCACGAGTCGCACCTACGTTTGGGTGTGTGGGGACATGTTGGAATAAAACATTTTTAAACTGCTGCTCTTTAAAATATCCAGAAGTAAACACAGTAAACTAGGTTTGCAACAACAGTTAGTCACATAAACTAGCAACCATGGCTATCATCGTCATTCTTCAATTGTATGCATCTAATCTTGTCTACTTGGCTCCTGGACTGCGTATTCTTACTGTGAATACTGCACCCTTCCAGGCTCTGTTACAATACATCTCCTTCCATGAGTAACATTAAATTGCTACTTGTCATGTGTTTCTGGTTTAGCTCACTATAATAAACTAATGCACTAGGCAATGCTTATGGGTTCATTTGCTCATATGGGATTTTTCGTCAAACTAAATAGAGCTAAAAAACGTTTTAGATACCTATCTAAATAAAAAGGCCCTCGTGAACTCTCAAACATTTTCTGAAATTATAATTTACTTTATCATCGGGGCCAAAATAAGGCTTAGCAGTATCCACATTCCCAGGCCTTAAAGACATGGGAAACTTCCCTCAGGCTCTTGGAAAACTTGATAACCATTCTCTAGTGTATTTGGCAATTTCTACTGAACCAGGGTTAGGCAGGCTTGTCAACATTGAGAGAAGAATTTGCTAATTTTATGAGCCTCTGATGTATACATATACAGGATGTATGTCCCAGGTGGGTGCTGCAGATTCTGGTTCTCTATAATATCACAAGAAACATGAACGTTATAGACCTTTTGGTCTTAGGAAATGCTGTGACGTTGTTACCACAAAGCAATAAAATGTGAACATTATGCTGCTTTCTAACAGGTGTAGCAAGCCCTGACAAAAGAAATGTGTATACTGACATAAATTTTGAGTTGCCACTTTACTTTAAATCATTTTATACTGTAGATAAGTTCTCTAGGCTTTAGATTACAAGGTCGACCAACTAAACATTGGCACCTAGTTTGGAGTTAATACACATATTTTCTTCGTGTTACAATTCCTGATTTCTGCCCCATGTGTTTGACTGATAGGATTTATCTTTAGGTGTTAGTGTTGCCTAGTCCAATGTCAGTGCTATACTGCATAGTATACTTAAAGTGACTGCCTGAAAATAGGTTATAATTCTCATTTACAGTAAATATAGATAAGACTATGGAGTGTATGGAAAAATATTCTCAGTCTATTTTCATTGCCAAAACGTATCAGGGCGTTTACAGAACATGCAAACGTTTCAAGCTTTCTGATGCTACTCCTGTCAGAGACTCTGGTGACAGTTGTAAGAATTATTTATGGCAATAAGGACTTATGATCGAAGTTTTCTAACACTTCCATCTCTGGTTCAAACACTGGCTGGTCAAAAAGGAATATTTTTCCTCCTTCCATCCTTTCCTTGAATATGGCACATTGCTTTGTTATGCTGGTGTTAATCTCAGTTAGAGGGCACAGAGACCATTAGTGGGTGAAACCTTCAGCCAGATGGGAATTAGTTTTTGTGTCCGATATAAATGACCCTTGTGATGTTTTCCTACAAGCTGTGTTTTACATAGCATAGCCAGCATGTGTTCCTGTTGAATCTCTGCCAGAGGGTTGACAAAGTGTCCGGCTGTCAAAATGTGCTGGTCCTGCCCTCAACAACTGAATGTACACAACAGACAGCAGGTACAAAAACCTTTACTTAAAAAGCAAGATGTTGGTGCTGTTGGTGTCTCCATTCAGTAGAATATTTTATTTGATCTTGTAGAGGATATAGCAACCACTGTGATATTTGGCAAGATGTAGGTAAATAGCAACATGCTATTTCCTTTCTGTTTTGTGATTTAAAAGTGAATTATTAACAGTTTAGTTATTAAGCTATTTTGTCAGTATCTTAAGCCATATTGTGATGTTGTAACAATTGAAGAAAAAAAAACAAAAATGAATTTACACCAAGAAGGTAAGCACGCACAGGTAGCACCACTTATTCAAATTTAAACAAACTAGATTATTTCTGAACTTTTTTTTTTGGTAATCAGTAAAAAGTTAAAATTATCATGTGATGTTGAGAAATCTCTATGTACTTCTTTAGCTAATAAAAACATTTCTATCAACATCAAAAATGTAATATTTCATGGAAACTAATGCCTCCTAATAATAGGTTTTTTTTGTCTGTGGGTCTGTAACAGCCAGAAATTCCAACTGATATATAATCTTGATGTCACATCTATGTGATGTCAACAACCAAAGAGAACAATGGCAGCAATGTAATGTGAAGTATCCAAATGTGCCAAGTCTGTAAAATATTCAAAGAATATCCAACTTCAACCCTTCACTTCCCTCTTTATGATGACAGTTTATGAAGATTCTCTTAGACAAAAACATTTTATTATTTTCCCATGTCTGGGTTACTGAGCTACGCTTAAGTATTAGGAAGGCCTGAGATTTCCACTGAGTAAATCATACTCAGCCTACTAGCAAACTACTAAACTTGAATTCAAATCCTGTTGGTTACACTTGTATGGGGCTAGTAAATACTTTAATTTCCACATGGTAAAAAAACAACGCAATTAAAAAAAAGACTACGTATGTAAATGTGAACCGTGTGAAGCATGCATACTGTGACTATGTGTACAAGTTAGTATAGTACTATATTATTAGCACTATATTGTGTGTTATTATTGATTGATCTGGACAAAAAAAAAGATGAAAAGAATTTCAAAATATTTGAACTTTTTTGAGGAGTACTTGATTTATCTTACCAGCCACTCATGACCATCTCAAAATGAGAGACAACTAGAGAAACTAATCAGGACTCGGTGATGGCTAGATGGGATAAGGCGCCTGCCATGACTTGCAATATCACAGGCTCTAATGTGGCTATATAACCTTTGGCACAAGTCATTTCCTCAAATCTTTCACTCTGTAAAATAGCAAATGACACAGAAATGTCATAAACATTTCTTCCAACAAGTGGAAACATAAGATAAATGAAGCGCTCCTTATATATTTTTTTCTTTTCAAATATTTAGAATGAATCCATCTTGTATTTGTCCTGATTAGAGCAGTAAAAAGGCACTGAGCTGGGAATAATTTTCAGTCCTAAACATATTACCTGCAATGAAATGGCTGGATTGTTGTTGGTTATAGTTTGCTGTGGGTTAGAAGCAGAAAAGGCTCTAAGATCAGCTTAGTACTAGCGTTTTTGGCATTTGTCCCTTGATGACCCCTTTTCAAACCAAAAAAATCTCCTTGTTTGTGCCTCTCATTTGTCTCTGCCCACCCCGACCAACTGGTCCAAGGTTGACGGATGGATCTAACGAGCAGATGTTAGAAATATGTTTGATAAAACATGACATGATTTAGGGACACCTGGAAGGGGAGGGAGGGGAGTTGTATTGTTCTTCAGTAGTGGTCGTCCTTGTACAAGAGGCCATGATGCACAGCAAACATTTGTGGCAATGTTGCCATCTTCTTAAAGTTCATACAACTTCATTCCTCAGCATCCACTTTGTTAATGGAAAGTGGATTTGTTCAACTTGCGCAATTCCATTGCTAATGAGTGCAACCCTGGTCATGTAAATGGTCTCTCCAGGTTTTATGCAAACATTGTTGCGTCTACACCCAGGTCAAGGTACCATTTTGGAGAGGAACACCGGAGAGAGCTAGAAACCAGGTTTGGGACTGATGAAGACAGCTAGGTCATTAAGTTTTATATAAAGGTTTCTCCTCTAATTGACCCCATCAGTACAGCTCCTTGGGGAAAGGTCCATGTGAGACGAGCATTGTCGCACTTCTTTAAGTCTTTTGAATCATGTCACCCTTGCTAAGGGAAGATGAGGGCATGTTGTCCTTTTCACCTATGATGAGAGCGAGTTTCATTCATATAGGCCATCCCACAGGTCTAAATCCAAGTTTTCACACATAATGCATTTGCATATCCAAAGATCTGTGTGATCTGTTCCCTGTATGTTCCACAGGTTCAAACCCTCCCTCTCACATTATGAATATCTGTGTATCCTAGTCTGTGTATGGTACCTACAAACTTGTTTCTCTTAGAAACATGGTCCCAATGCTGTAGGAGACTTTCCTCATAGAGGCTGGGGGAGCTGAGCGAGAGCTGGTCAGCGAGGCATGGCTGTGCGATGTCCCCGCCTCCAGGAAGTAACACGTCCCTGGGATTTCTTTGGGAAAATTCTCTGGGAGCTCCAGCCGTGAGCGAGGGACAAATGAAAAAGAGCGGTCATCTTTCAGCAACCTGTTGAGAAGACAAGTACCATTAAAAAGCATTTATTGTGGCGATATGGTTAAAAACAAGATCATGCATGTTTGTGTACATGCACATCTGTTTATCTGTACGTATACTTACTGGTAAGTTGTGGGACTAACATTGATACACCTTGGATGGCTCCCCGATTCAAACTTGCTGGCCAGTGTCACATTGTTCCCAAACAGGCAATAACGTGGCATTTTAACCCCGACCACACCTGCCAGCACCGACCCTGTGTGGATACCTATTCTTAGCTAAGAGAGAAAGGGAGGAAGAAGGTGGTGGGAGAAGATTGTAGAGGAAAAAAATAGATCGAAGGGGAGAGTGATTAGAGCAATAACACAACCAGCAGGATGTTAAAAGTACAAACAGTTTGAATGTAAAATGTTAAAGGTACGTTTCCTGTATTTTTCTTGACAATGTTCATGCACTTTGCCTGAAAATGGAGTTATGCAGCTGCTATTAATTTCTTGACACTGTATGTGCATGCAGTTTAATTCTGATCTACAGCTGAAAGGATTATTAATTATAATACAATTAATTGGTCGACAAAAAATAAACTTTTTTTGATTAATTAACATCACGCAAAACAATCAGCTTCTCAAATGTGAGCATTCTATGATTTTCTTTTTAATATGATAGCAAACTGAATATTTTTGAGTTTTGGATCGAAACAAATCTCACTTTGGGCTCTGGGAATTTAAATGTTTTATTAATTTCAGACTTTTTATGGAGGTTAAGAATAATTCGAGAAAAATAAATAAATAAAGAAAGAAAAATAAAATAATTGTCATTTGCAGTCCCTAGACGAATCTGATTGTGATCCATGTCATGTCTGGCTTTGCTTATCTATAAGCAATATGAGCAACACATTGGCACCTGGCATCTAAAATGACTAACCCGGCGCTGCTGTGAATGTTCATAAATTAGATCTCTCTGCTGACCTGATGCCATTCATGTGCTGCCTATCCTGCAGCACAAGACCTATGTTGTTTGGAACCAGAAGATGCTGTAGCAATCATACTTGCATAATTAGTGTGGCTGTTATTGTCTAATCTGATATCCTGTGGCAGCAGTGATGAAAATCTTAAAATAGAAAGAGTGAGAGAGGGAAATTAATCAAATAAATAATTGCTTCCATCTCCTCTTGGTAACAGATATAGGGCAGCAGCGCAGTGCTCATATAATAATCTGGCTGAAGTATGAATCTATAAATGGCTGGAGGCAGAGAGAAAGCTATCTAGCCATCATTCCAATTTGACCATTCCACTTCATGGCCACTCGACCAACTATTGATTTCCTCCACTTGGGAACAAGTCATCACACATACAGCACACACACACACACACACACTCACACACACTCACTCACACACACACACTCACACTCACACACACTCACTCACACACAACAAAAGCCAGTGGAACCCAGTAGATTTCTAATGATCTACTTGAGCATCTCATCACCTAGGTATCCAACGCCACTGTGTGCATGCCAGCACACTGCGAGGTAGTCATGGCAACAACAGGCGGAGGGGGTAGTGAGGTAGAAATAGCACAGACAGACAGAAAGACAGAAAGAAAGACAATAGAGAGAGAGAGAGGCAAAAACAAACTTATAATTAGATGACAAAACCTTGACAGCAGAGGAGGAGAGATAAAGAAAACGAGTGAGACAGAAAGCGAGAGAGGGAAAGGGCTGGTAGGTGCACTAGCGTGACCTATTTTTCAGCTAAACTGCTTACAGATGGCCATGCACTTGTCTGTCTGTCTCTACAACAGACAACCACCACAGACACACACAAACAAATCTGCATCCAGCGCCCACTCTCCTCTTTATTTCTTAGTCTCAAAACACAGACACAGTAACACTCTTCCCCTCCTTTTCGCTGTGAGTCAGCATCCCACAGCACATGGCCCTCAGTGAGCCAATGAGCAAATGGTGCAGCAGCACAGACGACCAATCACAGTGTAGCCTCTGGCCAAGCTGACAGAAGGATACAGCGATGGAGATTGCCTGTTTATTAGGTACATGTAGCTAAAGCTGATACAGTCTAATACAATAGTCCTGCAATAAATCCAACTTTCATGAAGGTTGTAATGTTCAGTTTTTGTTGAAACTGTTAAAAAGAGGTGTCATTTTGGAGGATGTAGTTTGTCCTGCAGCTGTTGAATTATATTTCATTTATACATAGGTGTTTCTATTCCTTATATCTTTGTAAATTGTTGATTTTTGGACTGTTGCCTGGACAAAACAAAACCATCAGCATGGGCTCTGGGAAAACAGCCCATGGCTAATTGATTGAAAAAATAACAGATAGATTAATCAATAATTTAAAAAATCGTTATTTACAGCTCTAAGCGTTTTGCAAGTCCTATGTGTTACATAAAAAAGAAGGTGATACTACATTGTTTTGTCTTTGTTTTATTACTTTTATAATCCTTATTATTTAATATTTAGTAGTTAAAGTACATTATTTATTGAGCAATCTGTTATTATGCTAAACCAGATTGTTTTTGATACGTTCACATTAGTATGCAAGGGAAAATTATTTTGAATTTGCTTTAGACATAAAAGGGAGAAGAAAAGTAAAATAAACAGTGTGTGCCGCAGTGCTGACAAATGCAAAATAAACATGTAGCCAGAAAAAAGCAGCCTTATTTGGTTGACATGACAAGGCCCTGACCATTTCTGAAGTCAATGTTTTGTGGACATAAGCCCACATAAACTCACACAAACAAAAAAAATCAGTCAGAATGTTCAACAGTAATAACCTAAATCAAATACAAGTCTGCATTCAAAGAGAGCAGATCTGAGCATGTGCAGTATAGTAGCAGTAACACAATAAGCACTACATCCCTGATGTCCACACCCACTCACATACTTATCCACCTACTCATACACACACATCATGCCACAGGAGGCAGTAATATAGATGAAAACATCTTACAATTTTTAGTTTCTATATGTGTTTCTCTCTTGACATCTTACTCTTCTGTATATTTCTCTCTGTGTCCCTGGCTCTCTCTCTCTCTCTCTCTCTCTCTCTCTCTCTCTCTCTCTCTCTCTCTCCATTTCACTCTCACTAAACATTTTCTCTCAGTTCTCTCTCACAGCTCTCATGCTAGTTTGCATAACAGTGCAACATTGGCTGGAGTTGAGTGCACTCACTGAACAGCATTTATCATGCTGAAGTGTTGAATATCTCTATAACTCTCCTTCATGTCGACATAAAGTGAGGAGAGATAAGAAAGGGGAGAGCATAACAGAGAGTGCAAAATATAGAAAAGCAGAACAAGAATAAAAAAAACTGAGAGGAAAAGCAAGTAAGAAACTGAGGAGGAAAATTAAAGGAGTGAGTTAGAGAGAGGCTGTGGAGGAGAGGGGGAGGGAAAGATAAAGAGGGAAAGAGGAAAGACATAGAGAGAGAGAAAGTGGAAGAGCAAGAGAGCAGGCCAAAAATGCTTGGCAAGGCCTTTCTATTTTGAGACAAATGGACAATGTTAGGAGCACAGCATTACACAGAACAGTGTCCTGTCTGTTATTCAGCAGCTATCTGTCTTAGCTTCTCTCTCAAATACACGTTTTCTTCCTATCTGTGTCATTGTCTATGTGTATTTTTAAACAAGTCAAAACCAAATGTGCTTGGGGGAAAATTAATAATAAAAAATAACTGTAACAAAAAATTCTGAATAGTTTTCTCAAACATTGAAGCAGGTTTTTACTGTACAGTACTTTCCGAATAACCATCTGTTTCTGTCAGCCCTAAGCCCATGTAATGCTGATGAATATATCTAAATGTCTTTCTCCATTGATATGCTACATTTGTGGGTTCTGAGCCAAACCAGAAATAATATGCAACTTACTGTAGGTAATGACTCTGACTCATATTTTTGACACTGGAAGTAGGCACCCTGGCCCACAAACATTCTACTCAATTAACATGAGAGGTTTAAACTCACTTCCCTCAGTTGTGCCTCATAATTTCCCTCCCTACTATATATACTCATCTTCTTTCTCTGCCAAAACGCAGCTTGCCTTTCTCTGTCTAGCTACATTAAATGATGAAAAACATGACATGGATTTACCATTAATTTTGTTTTAACTAATCTGAGCAATGACCTTTTGAAGGTGGATCAACACTCACAGCACCAGCAACAGTTAATGTGCTGAAAAGTGGACAGTTCTACCATTAAAACCTTTGGGTGTTTTTTTACAGCAAGTGTGTACCATTTTACTGCAGTTGATTAATGGGACACATGCTTTTCCACTAGCAACAAAACCATTTGTCCCATTGCCAACATGCAAAAATAAACCACAAGGAACTTGTTACATACTGGGGCTAGGGTAAAATACAGCAACATAGAGAAGAAAAAAAAAAACAACCTTTGTCAATCAAGCAAAACTTAATACACTGTAATCTCATCATATCGTATCTTGATACAACACAAAATGGAGGAAAAAAAGGAAGAAAGGGAAATGAGGACAGAATTTACAAAAGTAAATGGGTGAGGAAGAGAGAGGATGAGAGTGACTGAGATAGAGTTGAGTAGACTAACAAAGCATAGACAGTTGAAAACCAACAAACACACACACACACACACACACACACACACACACAAAAGCGTATTAGTACATAAATAGAACAAAACATCACACACACCCACATGGCACACACAGTCACATATATTCATCTACCACAGTACACACAAATGCATCAGCATTAAAAAATGTCCTAAGCCGATTCTAAGAATTGGTTACAGGGCCGATCCCAACATACTTTAATAGATCGGTATCGTCTGAAATAAAGCCGATCTTTACAGTGTGCATACAATAAGATCCACCATGTCTCTTCCCTTATTTCACGAAAACGCACGTCACATCCACATTAGCACCAAAGATCAAAATGACTATTCTCTGTTACACAGCTCTTATTCATATCCTTCTCTAGTCTCCTACCGTAGCCTTTTAAATGGGTGTCTCCTTTTGTATTAATATGGTAACACAGTGTGTGGTTTGTGTGAGAGTAGTATGCAATGATGGGATACATGTGCCAGGTAGTGGGGCAATGGGGAAATGCTAAACTTTATATTTCTAGGAGCACACGGAGTGGCCATTCAAAGTAATACAAAGCAAAAAAAATGTATCATCTTAAAAGTGAGACATTTCTCAATCAACATTCCTTCCTCTTTAAATTCAGATCTCCTATACCTATAATCATCCATCTTCCTCTTTTCCACAATCCACATCCATCTTCAAATATGTCAATCACAACACACACCCTTCCAGCCAATAATGTATTCTGGTATCACCATGGCAACTGCACGTGACGCAGACGGTAGCACTGTAACCTTGACAATCAGTGTGCATTCTAAAATTGTCAATAATGTGCAAATAACAACACAAAATTTGAGAACCATTTAGATACAGGCAAAAACAGAAACAAGCACACAAACGCAAAATATTTGCTGTCGTACGCTGTCCACGCATTAGAATTAATAAGGAAAACATTGAAGGAAACTCTCCTCAGCAGGACGTGATAATGGCAATACTGGCTAACTTATTTACCTTTTAAATAAAGTCTTCTACAGTTGACTTAAGTGGAGTAATATACCAAGTATATCTCATTAACATTGTCAAAAATGTCTTCATGTATTCATCTTACTACTAAGGTACTGTAGAGTGGAGGCATCAGACATCAATTGTTACATTTTAAAAAATAAAAAAAGGGCTGATTCCTTTAAATACTCTTCTCTTAAAATCACTTGAAACACCTGCATGATGGAGAGTGAATGAAAACTCACCTTGATAGGTTTCCCATCAGGTGTCAGCACTTCCTCGGAAAGTTCCATCATCTTCAGAGCCATGTGTGCAATTGGCTTAGCATGACTATCAACCTTCTTGTGAAGTCCTCCTGCCACACAGTAGGCATCACCTATTGTCTCGATCTGTATGAGAAATGAAGGAGGGCAGAAACTGAAATGAGTAAGTGTGGTTGTGAGTATATGCTGACGTGTGAAACTAAGTAATAGCTACTTAGTTACTCAGTAACTCATACCGTCACCAATGAGTAGTGGAAATTAAAAGCACTCATTCATTCCTCTTGTAATGTACAGTTCTTGAACTGTGTCTTTCTCTTGGCATACATCATTCACAGTAAGAGTATGTGAGCATCTGGAGAGGATCTCGGTAAAGCCACTTACAGAACCTTCCTCTGCTTCTGAATCTGATCCAGTCTGAGAAGCCGAAAAACCCAAGCACAAAAAAACACAAGCATTTCCATTCTTTCTTGACACCAATATGCAGACATACACATCCCTTACAGCACCCATCCCAAATTTCACCGTAATACCACTTCACCATAACCATATATTGTCACAGAGCCCACTGCCACAAACGCTTAAATCTTATTACGATATTAAATCTTATTAAATGTCAGTTACAAGTTTTACAGTGTTTTATAAAAAGGCATGACAAGTAGGTTTACTGTATTTTATTTGTAAGGAACCTTGAACAATATTAAACATAAATGCTTGACATATTGCACAGTACCAGAGTTAGCTTAAACCTAACTGACATCTGCAAGGTGGCAAAAAACAACAAAAACTGTCAATAAAGTATTTTTAGCAGCAGGATTCTGATACACCAGAGACTACCAGAGAACTGGTCTGCTTCAATGGGTGTGGAAGGTTAATGGGTTGGTAGATAGAGATGCTTGTATCAATCCAGTGTCATCTTTATCAGCTAAAGTCCATGACAAATGATCTGTGGCTTTTTTTGTATTGCCAATGAGAAACCATCCCATTTGATCTGTTAAGCAAGTGTTTTCCACATATTAAGCAATTAATTTGGGCAACTTACCCAAACATTTGTTCACACAGAGAGATTTCTTTGTAAATGATTTGTTCCTTACATCTTTGTGGAAATACAGATGACATTTTTTTGCCAGTTTCATAGCCACCATAGTTTCTCCTTAACGTTTGGAAGATGAGCAGTATTCAATTGGTTGGCAATCTGCACTTTCACCACTAGATGCCACTAAATCCTACACACTGGTCTTTTAATAGCATGATAGTAAATGGTGTAATGAGCTTATTCCAAAACCTTAACAACAGCTGCATACATAGATGCACTAAGATTTAAGCCATTAAGTCTTTCCTGGTCCCTGTTTGGGCTTACAAGTCTTCTTTTTCTAAGAATTACCCCTAAATGCCAAATTCAAAATGAGCACATGTGAACAAAGGAAACAAGCAGTGCCACTTTCAGGGATGTGTGGCATATTTTCAGTTGAAAGAGTGAGCTAGGTGTCATGACAGTTGACACATTCCTTGTAAAGAAAAAAAAAATAGATGGCACAAGAGGAGAAAGAAGGGAAAAAGGAAAACTAGGAGACAAACTGCTCTCATTTAGGCCTGCCACCGGCTAAATCATTTCGACAGTAACCATGACAATGGCAACATATGGGTGCCTCAATCTCCTCACCATGTCCTCCTGTTCTTGCTTTCTCTTTTACACACACACACACTCACTCTTCAATTGCTATACACATAAACCCTCTTACATAAACTCAATCTCTTCCCCTTTTCCAGATATCTGAGAGACATGACATTTCAGAGAAATCACCTAGAGGAAAGGCATGTTTTTTATGGGAAAGTGGTGAGTATGTTGTTGTCACAGGAACCGCGGTAATGAGATAAAGAAGAAAGATGATGGTAATGGTGATGATGGAAAGAAGCAAAGGTGGAAAGAGTAAAATTGATTGATCTGATGATAGAAAGTAAGGGTGAAAAGAGGGACAGACAGCAGACTACAGTGAAGACTGTAACCAGGCCCAAAGCCACACTGTCACATGGACAATATTGACACATCTTTGTTAAGCTCCCACAGACTGGCCATTAATCAGTTACTTTTTCCACAACACAAGGACACCCACACATTACAGCACATAGACACAGAGTACACACACACACACACACACACACACACACACACACACACACACAAAAAATGTATATCCAGTACACAAAATTTAGCTGATCTTATACAACTGGTAACACTTTAAAGACCCCATGAAAGGGAGTGCTAACTTCCTGGGAAACAAATGATCTTTTACGATGACCTCATTCTGCACACGGGTGCACATAAACCAATAAAGCAATTACGCTTTTTAAGCTATCCTTTACGTATTATATCTCGTCCCAACATCCTTCCTCAACAGGTGTTACTACATCACATAAAGAAGATGTGTGCATCTTTCTGTCTACTGACCTTATAAACATCCAAAATGCCACACTGGTAGTCGAAGCGCGTGTAAAGCTCGTTCAGCATGGAGATGACCTGCATAGGTGTGCACTGGGCACACACAGCAGTAAAGCCCACGATGTCCGAGAACAGCATGGTAACATCATCAAATTTGCGAGCGGGCACTGGCTGACCCTGCCACAGTTTCTGTGCCACATCTCCTGGAAATATGGAATAAAGGAGATCCACAGTTCTCCTCTTTTCCTCCTCCAGTGCTTGGTGAGTTCGCTCTAAGGTGGCCTGGGAGAAGAGAGGAGAGGAGAGGAGAGAAGGACATTAAGAGGTTTTGTTGTGTTTTGTGCTTTGCTTTGATGAAGGCACTGATGACAACGATGCTGAGATGTGGGAGTACTGCACCAAATTAAAAGCGCTGGTGCATGTAAATGTATTCATGTATTAATTTGATTTATTTTCGATTGTGTGTATCTGCATATGCTTATTTGTATCTGTGGGCGAGCTTCTTAATGCCAAATCTGTCTGATGCAGTGCTATACCATTGTTCAAGCAGAGTCAACTAAGCTATAGCTATTTATAACAGTAGCCTGGGGCAGTAGTTGCAGTGAGAGAGTGATGCAATGAGCAGATGCATATGATTGGGTCAAGACTCAGTGACTTGCTCAAAGGTACTTTGAAAGCAAATTATAAGAGCAAGTCCCAGGAGCCACATTCTTCCAGCCAGTATGGATTTAAACAGACAATGTTGAGATTTAACCAGCCAGTACAGCTAATGCATTGCATTTAACATGTTTGCTTCAGTGAGTTGTCACACCACTTGCATGATGGAAAACAAAACTAAAGACCCATCAAATGCACTGAATATTTGAATAATATATAAGTTATTTTGTCATTTTGATTGCTTGCCATTAGTCGAGAAGCCGGACTTTACCTAATATGATATAATATTACCTAATTGGAAGGCAGACTCGAGAGACGAGAAGGAAAAAGAGCGACGTGCTGCTTTTTGTTGAGACCATAATGGACAATGAATAGTAAGTATGAAGCATTTTGGTGTTGTTTTTCGTGTTGCTGGCAACCAAAGGCAGTCAATGTATGTCGTAGCCTGTTAATAGCTCGTAAGCAGTGACACAAGCTAGTGCCTACGCTTAGATTATGTGATCAGCTTGCAGTAGATCTATCTACATTGGTCTAAAGGTTCCAGTAGGAGGAATATGTTCACATAATTGCCACAGAGAAGCAAAAAATCGGTCTAGCTATTGATGAGCCTATTTTTGATGATGGCAAATAGGTCTAATAAACTGAAGTTTCCTTAGTTGTCCTGCTCTGTAAGTACCCAGAATTAACTAGCAACCATTCTACCTTAAGTTTGTCCATTCTCTTCTTCAGGCCATCCTGTGCCTTGGCCTGCTCCCCCACCAGGATAACGTCCCGTGTCGCATCATGAATGGGGATATCTGACAGGTGGAGGCCCCTGCCCATTAGCTCCTCCAACTTATCAACACGTGGTGAGCCCAGAAACATCAGGGAGCTGGACTCGGGCACATGGATCATCTGACCCTTCAATTCCATGACCTGGCAGGGAGAGCAACCAGAGGAGAAAGAAAGGGTTAATTAAGAATTCTTTTTTATATAGGCATTTACAGTGAAAAGATATAGACAATCCTAATTATATGCAGATTGCAGAAATACACTGAGCCAGTGGAGACGGGGATGGAAGACCGATTGGACAGTCATGTATTGGTTTATGTTCATTATTAGCCTCTCATTACTATGGATGTCATGTCAAATCAAAATCAAATCAAGTTTATTTGTATAGCCCTTTACAATAGCCGAAAGGTACCCAAAGTGCTTTACAACAAAGCCATGAAAGAATACATAACACATATATAATATACAAATATAATTAAAAGTGCTGTAGTGCTGCAGCACTGCAGGGTATTAAAAGCCTTCCGGAATGCATAGAGAGGAGCAGATAAAAAGAGTACACCTAAGAGACAGTACTGTCCTAGTCAGAATTAAATGCTAATCTAAAAAAGTGGGTCTTAAACTGCGATTTAAAAAGGCCGAGATCAGTAGTGGTGCGAATGTCAGGGGGCAGTTCCACTTGATACTTTCTTTTCTCTAACCAATGTGCCACAGAGTAGGACATTAACATACAAATAATCATTTATTGTATTTGTATTACTCCAGTAACTGCTTTTTCTATAATATAAAAGGGTGAATCTTTGATGCTGACTGACAGAAACCTGGCCTGTTAAATACATATCTGATTAAATATGTAATTATTTTTTACCATACAACTTCAGTGCAGGTCTGTGGAAATACCTCAAAGTTATATCATGGCAAGGTATATTTGGTCATTTAGCTTTGGAAATGCAAATAAAACAAAATAACGCTTGTTTCCCTTCAACACTCAAGTGTTGCTTTTTGCTGTTATCGTCCATTAAAAAAGCATTTGTAAAACCTGCAATGTATTATTTTTGGGTGAGAAAAAAAAAGAAAAAACAGCCACATTAAATTTCATACTAACATACTAAAAAGTGTCCATTTATAATGTACCATATATATTAGAATAAAGTGCCAAAGATGATTCTCATCTGAAGATTACAGAAAAGTGTTGATCATGTATGTATGTACATGTATGTACCCGTACCCCATGTCCACTGCATATCATTTGTATTCTAGAAAAAGATGCAAACAAACATACAAATAAACGTGCCGATACACATACACTCAGTTGTCAGTTAATTAAGCTAAAACCTAATGCAGTATAATACAACAGTGTAATAATCCAACTTTCCTGAAGGTTATAATGTACAGTTTTTGTTTCAAATATTTAGAGAGGTGTTGATTCAACTTTCTGATCATTTTGGAGGCTGTATTTTGTGGTGCTGTGGAATTGTATTGCATTATACCAAGAGGTGGTATTGTTATTTAACCTACCCTCACTGATATAAATGGAGTGGATAAAATAATAAAAACACCTGACAGTATAACGCACCACAAAAACCCTCTAAAATTATCATAAAAACAGTTTTAATAAAAACTGAACACCATAGCTCCATAAAAGTCTCATTTATTTTAGGACTCTTGTATTAGACTGCATTACTTTTAGCTAGGTGTACCTTATCTACATAAATACATACAACACAGATTTTAACTAAACTTATTCAGAGGTAAGGTAAGGTAATTGTCCCCAATTTGTGAGAAATGTGAGCAAGCAGATACAGATTTACTAGTTACGCCCTAAAGTACAAAGGTTCTGGTTGGCCATATTTTCATTCTTGTCAAGAATCTTTAAAGTCGAAATAGGACCAGATCCACTCTTGGTGATACTGCAGCGGAAAACTATAAAAAACTACAGAGTGCGCAGCTTTATCTCCTGTCCTATGGTTTCCTCTGCGCAAATAAACTTTTTCTCTTGTTTCTGTAAAAGAAAGATGTACCAACCACCGTCTCTGGTTCACCGCTTTTCCTTCCTTGTAGCACTTTTGATAGGTACTGACCACTGCAGACCGGGAACACCCCACAAGAGCTGCAGGTTTGGAGATGCTCTGACCCAGTCGTCTAGCCATCACAATGTGGCCCTTGTCAAAGTTGCTCAAATCCTCACGCTGCCCATTTTTCAGGACAAAATGTTTACCTGCTGTCTAATATATCCCACCCACTGACAGGTGCCATTATAACCAGATAATCAGTGTTATTCACTTCACCTGTCAGTGGTCATAATGTTATGGCCAATCAGTGTATTGTCTATTTTAAAAATATGAATAAGAATGATTTATTTTCCTGACATTTTGTTGCTTACACATAATGACAAATATGTCCAGGACCTGCTGACAGAGGTGTATAAACTCTCCAAGAAAGAGAGACTGAAACAGGCATAGTGGCTGATTACCCCAGGAGATGTTGAGGAAAGACATTACTTCCCTTTTAAATATGATTCTTAGCTGTTTCACAACTAACTCTGCTAGATGCCGCTGAATAAACCACTCTTCTCCTTCGACATGAATACACTCTCTCCTGCTCAGTCCTTGCCCCTGCCTTACTTTTCTGTTACTGTTTTCGATTCTCTATCCATCTTCATCCGTCTTTCATTCCTGCCTGCCTCTCTCTCTCCCTGCTCTTTTTTCTGTCTCTTCCATTACTTCTCTCTCTCTCTTTCTCCATAGTGTCAGATAGATTATTCCGCCAGTGAGCACACTGCAGCCCTGTTTTATTTATAGCACAAGGCTCTCCTAGGTCTGCATAATACATACAGTCTACATCTACACACACACACACACCTACACACACAGTATTTCCCTACACACAAACACACAGAATACATCCAACAGGGAGACACACATACAGCCTCTGACTGTCTGTTTCTCAGAAACACTGACATACATACATATAAACACACATACAAACACATATGCAGCCTACAACCCAGAAGGTCAGAGTTCAAAGACACACCTATCCCCTGAAACACAACTTGGTGCGATTCAGTTAGTGTGAACACATCACATACAGTTTATGTATACAGTATATACATAATCTGTATATATATTGCATTTGAACCCCTGGAATTTCCAGGTGGAAATCAATAGTGAAAATAGAACAGGAGGTTGTGTATATAACAGTAGAAGGTCTGAAGTGAACTCTGTGAGGAAAAATGAGAAAGCTTTTTTACAAAAAATAGGTCATAACAGCAAAAACCCACAGACCATTTGCATGCACTTTTTAGACGGTCCCTAACTTCAGCTCCTCAGTTAGTCTAACATACCATATGTTTTGCACCCCCAACGTTTAATGCAAGTCGACGCCAACGTCCATACAAAGGAGACACAATGGCACACCACAAGGACTGCAAACAACTGCTGTCAATGTTCACAGCTGTTTGAATGTTGTGTTATTTTGTTTTTCTGTAACTGTTTCACTGCTTTTCCTGTTACACAATAAAGGTTGAAATAAAAAAAAAAAACAACGACTGTTGTGGTGGCTTTTTAAATCATGTACAGTAGGTATAATTATACCATGTCTCATCACCTTACTCGCAGTGTCTGTCTTTGTTTCTTTGCCACTCTCATTATCTGTCTTACTCTGTCAAAAAGTCTCTCTCTCTCTCTCTCTCTCTCTTTCACACACACACACACACACACACACACACAATGATGCACAGATAAAAACATACATGGATACACACATACACACATCCCTGGCGGCAGCTGTGTTGGCCTAGTTGTGCGTCTCAGTTTAACTCAGCACTCTCCTCTCCTTCTGCCTCTTATCTCTGTCATCACAGAGAAGGAGGACGGGAAGGGAAAAGGAACATAGTGGTTAGGAAAGAAAGCATTACAAAAAACAGGGGGAATGGTAGAAGAGACATGAGACAGAGAAAGTGGAAAGGATGAACCAATAAAGGGGAAAGAATAAGTGAAAATAGTGAAAGCACAGTAGAAAAAACTGCATGGATAAAGCAGAAGAAAAATGCAGAGAAAAGAAAAAGCAAGTGACAAAGCATGATGAAAGACAAAAAACACAATAAAAGTCAGTCGGCATGACTGAACTTTAGGTAGGCATGTAAAATTTATTTTTATAAAAGCATATAAAAACACAGGAAACTCGAACAAAGTCCAGTATCCTGTGTCCTAGTCCACTTTGTACAGCGGTGATTCTTCTTTGTAGAAGGTTGTCACTCATTTACACTGAGCCCTTGTTCAAGGTCACTGCAATGTCACCAAAAAGGACATTTTTCTGTGTTTATATGATATATCTCAGGGCATGGGAACAGTCTACTCTCATCTTTAGAAGATGCATTGATAGTGGAATTATCTGTCCTCTTTGCCATCATTTTACAGAGTACTTGTTAAGAGAAAATTGCTTTTTGATTTTTTTTTCTCGCACATAACCACTAGATGCACATGTTATCTAAAGCAAGATCATATATACACACAAACATATGTTTCCCCTTTAACAAGACCAATACAATACACATCAATATGAAGCTACTTCAGTTATTGACAGCATTAGCAGACACTGTGCTTTTCCAAACCATAGCAGGTCAGCAGGGAACTGACCTCACAATTTTTCGATTTATCAGGAATCCAATCCCTGACTTTTTTTTCTTTATCAAATTACACTGGAGAACATTTGTATTCTAATCAAACCCAAGTATTATTTATTCCTGTCCTGACAATCTATGACTTGCCAATGAGAATTGCTTTTCTCCCATCCGATCTTAGTAGTCACTCTGTGTGAATATTTGTGTATTTTGTGTCAAGTCTATGTAAATGTTGTTATACCTTATAAGAGTACGGCCTGAGCAGCACACACTGTGATGTTCACATTTTACATATTAGGATTTTCAAAATGCACAGATTCAAGATGCTATTGCCATAGGCAACAAGCAGCTGAAGGTAGATGAAAAGGAAAGAAGGAAGCTGAAAGGGCCAGAGGTGGAAATCAAGGCAGAAGGAGAGGGATAGTAAGGAGAGAGGGAAATGAGAGAGAGAGACCACGGGAAGAATAAGAGGCACTGGATTTGGAAAATGGAAACCAGGTACAAGACAGAAAGATGGAGAGAAGGA